TTCATTCAACACTTTGTAACTGATACTCGTTTCTTCCGTCGATTTGCGATACGTCCGCGTAGACTCGTCCTCTTCCCCTTTGTACGAGCTCCCATTCCCATCCAAAGAGTCCGAGATCTCCCTGAGCACCTCAGGCTCCAGAGAAATCTTTCTGCCTTCCTTCACCTCCCTCACCTTTTTCCTCAGTATGCTCAGTCTTTTGTCGAAACAAGGACTGCCTTCCTCCTCGATCGGCGATTTCATCCAGAGAGTCCTAGACCTCTTCCAATCCCCATCTCCGTACTTCTTCCTAGACTTCAACTTCTTCCTCTGCTTCGACTCCTCGTCCGACTCGTCGTTGTCGCTTCTGCTCCTCACGTGACGTTCCGTCTGAGTGGCCGTCGTTCTGTCAGTTTGAGTGGCAATGGCGACTTGTCCGGGAAGGCTTTGAGTTTCCAGGTAACTCGTGGAATCCATTCCAGCCCCAGCTCCTGCACGTCGGTTTTCTCTCTCTAGGAGCAATCGAGTGAGCAGAGCGTTCTGTCTGGCTAGTTCCAAGTCGTGAAAGGAGTACTGAGCGTTGTTCGATTGAACGCGGTGCTCTTTGGTAACGATTGGCGGCTCGATTACAGCGGTTTCTTGTTTCTCGTGTCTCAGGATCTCCCTCATTTGAGACTCTTTTTCCAGTTTCTGCGATTGATAGTCGCCGTGATCTATCACGAGTCTTTGTACGTTCGGACCTATCTCCTCGATGTGCTGTCTGTGACCAAGTTCCAGTCTGTCTGGTATGAGAATGATCTCTGGTGGAGGTTGTTGCTGTTGCTGCTGCTGGCAGATCTCTTTGGATCGTTGATGCGATTCCATGCTACGAGCTGCTTCGATGTCCTGCATCGACAACTCGTGCCTTGACTTCTGATCTTCGATGAATCGTTGCAGAATTATGTCCTTACCGTCTACGATCAAGGTTGTAGGACGGTGGTGATGGTGCGGGTGACTCGTCGCCGTGTCTTCCACTTGTCCTCGGGTTACCAATCGTAACACTTCGGCGTTTCCCTCGTGGAAGTAGTGTTGCTCTCTTACGGTCGTTTCTTCGTTCATGTCGGCTTCGATGTATCTGGAATCAGGCCTGAATCGAGGTTTTACTTCACATATGTGTGTAGTTTGAAAATTTTTGCAATATGTTTACTAATAGTGACAAATTTCTTCTCACATTATGAAACAAAATAGAGTAGAACTCTCTATGCAATCTCGATACTTGCAAACTTTGACTGTTGCATTAGGCCAACATATGACAGGGATTGTCACTTAGTTACGAGTAAATCAAATGAGATACAATGGGAGAGGGAGAAACGTGGATTTCGGTCTCATATCAGATCTACAACGTCTGATTGTGATATTCTTTTTGGCTTAGTAGAAGTTGTGCCTATTGGCTCAGGATCAATTTACCAACTTATTGGAATATGTTACTGTCTACTATGATGTTTTTGGATTAACATTTGTTAAATGCACGAACCTAGATGCTTGCATGCATTTTAAGCTCCGTTTTCGTGCAACTATCGAGGTTCTACTGTATTGCTGTGCAAAGCTGAAATTATTCCAATATGGACATACGAAATCCAACTCTGGAACTGTGCCAAGAAGAGCAATATGGACACTATCGAGAGATTTCGAAATAAAACCTTAAGGATAATAGCAGCTGCCCTGTGATAAAAGAACAAATGAAATATTTTGTGACAGCACATAAAAGTAGATTAGAGAAACATTGGATAAAAGCTTAAAACATACTCCGGAAATCAGAAGACTGACGAGAATAAAGTTATATCACATACGTGTAGGAAACGGAATGCAAAATGCAATTAGAAATTGGTAAAATGTAATTAGGATAAACAAAACTGATAACGCGTTATCGCTTCTAAGGAAAAACGAACGAATCTCGCTCTTCTTTTCCCTATTTATAAGGTCTTCGCGACCCGCGCTCGCTCTCTCTCTCACTCTCTTAGCAACTCGCATTCGTGCAATCACACTCGCTCTTGTTTAATAACAACGAACGTCGGAAGGCCACGGCCCGGTCATTAACCTCCTACATACGTTATACAGAACTGTAGTAAACTGGGCCACGAAGTGTTTAAAATATAACTGCAGCACACTTCAGCACTCACAATGACAATTTAATTTTTCTGTACTGAAATTCATTCACTTCCTGAATTTTTTTATTTTTATCTGCAGAAATGTTAGATTTTTGCAAAATAGAAGATACAATTCCATTTCATTTCTTCTTATAGGAAAAGTTATTCGGATACAAATGGACGTATTATTCGAGTCTCTTTTCTATTGCTCGCTAAATAGGAAGTATAATTAAACGTGTGGCAATAATTCACCAACCTTTGCCTATAAGCTTGACGCTGCAAGTCTGAACCTCTGTCCATTTCGTGTCGTTGTAAAGAATCCATTTCTGCGGTATCGTAGCCTCTCGCCTTTTGCCCTTCGACATCTTCCATGTACATTCTTTCTTGCTCGTTCATTCTGTCTCTTCTCGAGGGACCGTAAGAGGGCACGTCTCGTAATCTCTGAGCTTCGACGTTCATGTGAACGTCGTTTGGTTGACCGGAAATGTAAGCTACGTCACCAGGAAGCGAACAATTTTTGACGTTTCTTTTATTAAACTGCCAGTTTCTTCTTGTTGGGTCAGCACTCCATGCTTGCTTTCTTCCATTCCACGATACTGTAATGTAACGTCGAAGACATAATGACAGTAATGTTAAATTGCACAGGGTGGGTCATGTAAAACAGGCCATCTAATTATCTTCTCTAGTTACGGTGGTACGAGAAAATTTTTATACATAATTTAAACGGCTTCAAAGGGTTTATTTTTCTTTCAGGATCACTTATGTTCTTTTACACGAACGTATATATTTTTGTACCGTATGTTTGTAGCAAACATCGATGTGCATTTAAACGTGCATAATAATACGACTTGAAAATGACCATGTTTGCCATTGTTTGCCATTTCTTCCATCGAAAAAATTTTTCTTCCATTTTAGTCACTCTTTGAAACCATTTATATCGTGCATAAAAATTTCTGGTCCACTTGCGTGGCCCACCTTACATAAAACGTAAGATTTTACTCTGCAGCTGAAATTTATGCCAAGTTTAAGCAATTTTCAATTACACGACAGAGTAAATTCCCAGTGAATTATAATATTCTAAATTTTCCGTTGTCTCAAGTAAAATAAGATAAAATAAAAATTGTTAGATTTAATAATTTAATGAAAGCCTAACGAATCACGCTTAACGAAACATTTACGAAAAGATCTACCCTGAATAGCTGCTGCAGGCTGCCGATGAAGGTGTCGTTTCGGTCTTCCATCTGGTCGCACGACTAATATTTCCGAAGAATGCACCCGCCTTTTTCGCGGTGACATGTAAAATGGGCATCCGGGACAGATGCAGCAAATAATCAACGCGGCAATTGCCAAAAGCATAAGCAAACCCAAAATGATCAGAAGCCAGAATAACAATTTGTTCTCTGCTTTGTACACCGTCTAAAAGTTATTTTTCATTTCTAATTTTTAATTCACGTTAATCGAACATGCAGTTACAGGTAATTTCCTTAAATACTAATTATTCAGATTTTTTGTAACAGTATTCTCGTTTATTCAAGATGTGGAAAATCTTTAATTGAAATTTAATTTCAATTTTTCAGAAGGTTGGAGAACGTAGAATAACCTAAAGAATTACTCGAAAGAAATGTGAAATTGCTTAAAGATATAAATAAACAGAATTTGACGCATCGTGGAATTTTGACTTTTAATTTCGATTTTGTATTTGGTTTAGAAATCAATTTCTGACGAGTGTTTTTGTATTAATCTTGTGGACGTGAATATACTTTATCTTAAATAAGTAACATAGGTTATTAGTCTGAATAATTAGTGTTTATTAATGTAACTTAATTTTCAATATTAATTTCGATTTTTATTTTATTCTTCCATACGTACCACTTCTTCGTTTTGTACAGTAGTGATAGTATTGTTAATAATAGTCGTTTGAACTTCGTTGGTGTTAGTTTGACGGGGTATTCCATTGACAGAAGCTTTCGTATCGTTCACACGTATCGTTGTATTCATAATTGTATCTGAACCACTGATGATTCCTAAGCCATTAGCAGCTAAGGTTTCTCGGATCTTTTCGATGTCTACTAAAGACGTGCCTGGTTCTGTTTGCTCGATACGTGCCACAACAATGCTCCTAGAATATAGAATAGCATAACTTTGAGTTCTTATGTAGTTAATTACATATAAAGCTAAATGTAAGGAATACTTTTAATAAGACTGAATAGAATCTAACGACTATCATTCATTGCTTGTCATTTTTTTTGGAATTCGATATGTTTCTATATTTTTGTTACAATACGTGCGGTCTTCGGGTCTTTTTTGACCCATCGCCTTCTTATTTCTTTAAACGACTTTAATTTGGTATCAAGCTTATGTTTCCTTAACATTATATTTAAAGTTTATTGCCTAGGTAACAAAAATTGTTGCACATAAAGTGTACAGTCGAATAGAAGAACACACTAAGGTTAAGAATTAAAGACTAACTATGATAAAAGTGAAGATCGTATCTTATCTGAACACTTGATGCAGTACACTGTTTTTTAAATCAACTTTGAAATTAAATATCAAGGGTTGCACTCCTTTATCGAAGATATCGAAAATTTTTGGTTCGAATTTAATTTCACTTTACAGACGAAAATTGGAATATGAAGAACAACCTAATTATCTATTTAAAATTTTATCTTTTTACTGTAACGAAATAGATTGCACAAGATTTAAGCACTAAAAATGGTCATTCTTTTTTAAAGAAAAATGTTTAATTAATGTTTCCTTTTTCATCTGTGTTCTTGAAAAGTGAAGTGTTTTCATTGTTTTTGCAGTAGTATTTAATCTGACAAAAAGTATTTAATCACGTGTTAATATAAGAATTTCAATTTTTTGATCAAGTATGACATAATTTCGTCTCTGATCTGACTATTAGACTTCCTGTCGTTCGCTTATTGAAAAATTCTACGTCGAGTATTATTGAAATACTAACTTCTTGCCTCCACCTGGAAGTGTGCCTGTACTTCCAGTGTGATTTTGTTGAATATAAGGACGAGTTTCTAACACGGTAACTCGGCCACCAGTAATGGCAGCCAAAGTTTCAGCAGTCTTCTTCGAATCTGGATGCTCTCCTGGCACTACGAACATCATTATGCGAGCTTCCATTGCGACACCACTGATGACTCGAATTTCTGTTACGCTTGAAAGATGCGGAACACCTGAAAGAAATAGTATCGTGTCGTCTCTTTTCTGATTGTACCACTATTTCATAAACACCCTCAAGGCGAATAGCTTACAAATCATTTTAAACGAGCGAGTTAAGTGCTCTTCTTTGTTTATTCTCCGACATTATTATATTTTTTCACACTCCATATGCAGATTGGGTCGTTTGTGTCCAAATCTAGGTTTTTTACTGTTCAAAGCTTTCCAAAAATTTGAAAACACTCTGAGATAATAAATTCTGGGGGGAAATCCGAGAAACTTTAGCTGTTAATGGTTCAGAAATTAATGGCCTGTACAATTATGAATCCAACGGTACAAAAGCTTCTGCTAATGGAATTCCTCGTCGTACTAACACCAATGATGTTCAAACGACTATTGTCAACAATACTATCTCTACTGTACGAAATGAAGAAGTGGTACACATGGAACAATAAAATAAAATTTTTCAATAAAAACAAAAATTCGTTTTGGAGGAATATGAAAGTGAAATTTCGCTTGGGTCATTAATGACCCAGGCTGCCTATGGAGGATCAATGATCTATATACATTTCTACAAGAAAGTAGGCAATGTATTTTAAAGCATCTTGGTACTAATATTCAACAACCTTTTTGGAAAAGCAATTTTCTTCGGTTCACCTAAATTCAATTAACTTCAAATTACCTAAATCGTATGCTCTGGCAGTGAGGGTGTACAACGAGTCTTCGTTAGCTCGTTTTCGTCGTTTGGTCATCACTTCTGTTGTCACTTCTTTAGGAACGTTCGTTGAATTAATTTTGTTTCCATTATTCACCGATGATTCGTCATTGTCCACGTGTTGAATTTTCCCTTGACTTCCAACAAACTCTTTTCCAGCTTTCTTAGAGATCTTGTCGTAGGCACTTTGTTTCTTTCGCCTGATCTTTGTTACGGGAGATTGAAGAATTAGTTCACCGCTTGTTTCGTTTAAGTAAAATTTATTCTCGTAGTTCCCGTGGACTATTTCGTAGCGAATTATATTGTTGGGCGGCTCTGCGTCGGCATCGGTAGCCTGTGAATAATTAACTTCGTTGCTTAATTTAAATTTGTACTATAATGTAATTGTGCCGGAGAGATCGGTATTTTTATAGAATTACTGTGCGACAATATGGTATGTTCTTAACGGTAAATTAAAGCCTCTGACAAATTGCAATATAATCAATTTTTAAAGGGAAACTGTTTGAAATATATAAAATATAAATTCAATCTACTATGTGGATGTTCGATCGATGACATTAAATTTCACCGAGCAAAAATAGCTTGCGATGATGAATTATTTTTATTCCGATTTTCTTTAAAATTGATATATAAATTAAACATAGCTTCTGCAGAAAATTAAATTATTCACACAGAATATAAATATAGAGTAAATCTTAAATGCAATTTAATTCTTCAAAGAAGAATTAATAAATGCAAAATTATTTTTATTTTGAATTTGTTTAAAATTCGTATCTGCACAAAATTACAAAATTAAATTAAATTACCTTTATATAAGCAGGTGACGTGAAATTCGTTAAATCAGTGTTCAACATAAATTCGTAGATATCCTTTTCGAATATAGGCGCGTTATCATTAACGTCCAGTAAATGAACTATCAACGAAACAACTCCGCTGTTACCGTTCCCATTCTCGTCTCTAGCTTCAACGGACAATACAAGTTTTGCTGCAGTTTCACGGTCCAAGGAAGAGCCCATAGCGACAGTTATCAACCCTGTACGAGAGTCCATACTGAAAGCTTCGCTCCCTTCTCCTGTTATACTGGTATACTGAATACTGCCATAAGCACCTGTGTCCTTATCAGTTGCGTGCACCTGTTAAGAGAAATGACATATCGTAATATTTCATTTAACGAGAAATATTAACCACTTTTTTAAAAGAACAAGTTAGAGTTGCAAAGTAATGAAATATTTTATTTTGTAATTGTATTAATGAAAACGTTGAAATTGTACAGTACTGTGCGAAGGATTTACGTGGATATCTAACGAATCTCTCTGACAGTGCGAAGAAATAGTATTTAAAATAATGAATAATATTAAAAGTAACATTTCAAAATTTATTAAAGAGACCGTGCATTCTTTCCGTAAATGTCATAATGCATTTGAAAGATACCTGTGTGAAATTGTTTTACCTGAATCACACGTGACCCCGCAGTCACATTTTCAGACAACGTTACTTCGTAGAGTTCATCTTCGAATACCGGTGGATTATCGTTAACGTCTCTTAAAAATATAGTAACTGGCACTGATGCCGATAGGTTCGTTGCTGGACCAACTTCTTGTGCCACAATCTGAATGACAAATATTTCAGATTAATAATCGACTTAGAATTTTGTGAATTTTCTTTTTCTTTTGTGGCTAAGAATGAATTAATTTTGCGAAAATATACGGCTAATTCTAAATGAAAAGTACTATGAAGTAACTTCGATTTGGAGAATTGGAGAAAACTTTAAATTTATGTCTCGAATTCCCAAGATGCTTAACTTTTAGCTTCTGTTTCTAATTAAATATGATGTATCTAACTTTGAAACAACATAAGCTAATTCGTTTGATTTATTCGATATTGAACAAACTGAATTGCATTTAATCTGCTTTATATTATTTAACATCGTTGTCAATTTTCATCTGAAAATTTACACGTGCCTTGAAAGATATAACTTTGTATAGTTCATAATCAATGAGAGTATTGTCTCGGACGGTAATAATGAAGTCTGCAGTGCGTTCCGCAACTGTTGGATTGATTTCAAAGGTACCGTTGTTATTTTCCAACTTCAACGCAAAAACACCAGCTTTTCCAATATCTTCGTCCTTCACTTTGGTCGAATATTGTTCACCAAAGTTTATCACAGTTCCCGGTTCCAGATTTTCATCGATCGTGGCAGCATAGCTACAACGAAAAAATAAAGAGTTTCATACACATAAGTTTAATATAATCGAATTATTTTTGAAAAGAATTTGTTATTCATCTATCGGTCATCAAATTGAGACGAACTTTTGTTGGAGCTTTCATATAAGATATATATTTGCGCTCCACTGGTCAGGAAAGGGTTAAGCAAACGACTCGAAAGTAGCACTAAATGCGTAAGAAAGAAACTATCCTTGTTTTCGTTAACTTCAGTGAAAAATTCTAAATTCTATTCAGTGGAATATTTCCAAAATAAAGGAAAAAATCGAAGAAAGTAAATAAAATTGGAAAATTTTGCTGGTTTTGTAGATTGACGTGAATTGTATTATACATAAAATGAAATAAAACTCGCTGAAATATGAAGATATCTGTAATTTAGCTCGATGTCAACGTGCAACTGATTTATTAATTAACCATCTATTTTATTCATATTATTATTGTTATTACTGTTGATGTTTCAGGTACCAACTTATCGCTCTCGAAGTACGGTGGACTGTTTCCGGGCTCCCCAAGAAGAAATCCAACGTCAACAACTGTTGCTTGAGCTGGAGGCTCCTCTCTGCTTCTTCGTATTTCTTCAGCAACAACGGTAAGTACAACTGGTGCTCCCACATGCGTAATTTGCGTAAGCTCCTCCAAAGGTCTAGCAAGTGTGATTTCACCTATCAATTGCACGCAAGTTTTGAATATTTATTGTTTACAATATAAATGCTCCTCGTATGAATAATTTAAACTGATAGTCCAAAGAAACTTAAACTGTTTTCTTATCCTATGGATACAGATAGGATGAAATTTTTAAGCTTGCTGCAAGTGTTTGTGTGTGATTTTTATTTACAAAGAGAAAGGTCGTTAATTAAGATTTATTCGATTCGCAAAAATTAAATAATCAATTCTGTTTATTTTTCGTAAGAAAATTCCAGTTATAGTATGTAGCTACATAAATTTTTATTTTACCAGTACTGCAAAATTAATTGTTATTTTTGCATTCGCGCGTTGATCTGTTTGTACGTTGAAACAGTGGTCCGTGTTATTATTAAATTGTTGTTATTACGAGTGATGAATAAAACATTTGGATCAATGACCCCTTTTACTTATGTACAACGTACAAAGCACGCATGTCTAGTGGTAGAAATTTTCCATAACACATCACGAAATGAAGCTTTACGAATGGAATTGCCTCTATTAATATGTATTGCAGTATACTATTTTCGTACCCTGTGTGTTATATTTGTTTTGTTATCGTAGGTATGCAGTGTTCCTCTTATTTTCATGCCAGTGACAATGGAAATTATGTAGTTATGGAACACACTTCGTAATTATTGATCTAACGCCACTAACATATTTTCATTTGACCAACGAAATGCAGTATTTAAAGTAAAGCTATAGTTTTTCGATAGAAAATCCTAATTCTGTTCAATTTAAATAATTTGCAAAGAAGAATTTATGCGCAGCTAATTAAAACTTAATTAATAATGCATTGATTTTTGACTGTCACTTATCAAAATTTTATACAAATTTAGTATAAAAAGTATAAATTTGTGTAAATATTTTCAGTAAATTCATTGTCTCTGTAAAGCTTTAAATGTAATTTGCATTGAAGTGTTTTCCTATGGTTCTTTAATGTAAAACATTTTTAAATTTAAATTTCTAGCAAATTTTTAATTTTTATAAATCAATCATTGAAAGCTAATTTTGTTAAATTAATATAAAAATATAGCATTTTCACAAATTTTGACAAATAGTAACAATTTTGTAAGGACTTTTTAAGGTCAAATAATTGAATATTAAACTTGCAATGACAAAAAGTCTTCCTTCACATTCAGCAAGTAAATTTAAGATAGATCTCGGTACAATTTCCATTCAGCAAGTGTCCCACTACTCATTTAATAATCTCCAACCAAACCGCGATTGTGTAATCAACACGTGCTACAATTACAACAGAAATTTCGCGGCTGTAATTAAAAAGCGAGGGTTCTTATCGCCTTCGTTTATTACACCTTCGCCTAAAATTACGGCCGCCTGTTAATGTCCAGTGGCTACAATAGACCGGCCTAAAATAGACGCGTTTATCTCCTATATTCCTTCTAACCCTGTCCACTTCTTTTTCATCATTTTTCTCTGGCGGCTACGTCTACACACACACACACGGCTGCGAAGAGGTCGCATGCTTCGTGTCACGAAATGATAAGCATCGCGGCCTGAAAAGCAGAGACTGACCCCTAAGTACGATCGATACCGTGCTCTACACCGTCAAGACTTTCTTCTGACCACTTCTATCGAGTTCTGGCCACTTCTTTGCCTGACTCATTTTCGGTTCCGTGAAAAACTCCCTATCACCGATCTCACACGCTCGATAATAAGTTCGTGCGAGCTGTAATCACCCGAAAACAAGCGTATAAAGTTGCCACAGCGCCCGCTTGCGTACTTCTCGCCGTTTCTACAGACGTAAGAAGCGTTCCTTTTGGAAAACGTTACACGGAACGGTAGATTTTATCGTTGAAAGTCGACGAACGCGAAGGAAAGTAAATTTTTTGATGGATAACCGAGCGAGTCTGTCTCTGTTCTTATTGATCACCGATGTGTTTTTCACCGTAATGGAATCTCTTTTGACCACAGTCCGCGCGGTTTCGTTTATTTCTCATCGCGTTGAAATTGCATACGTAATTCTCTTTCCCGTATTGATTGAGCCTGTGAAGAGCATGAATCATTCTTTGACGCGTTTCAACGCCGCAGAAGAAGATGTGGTAAATTAATTTCAAGTTTCACTCTCGTCGAGTGGATAATTCGTGGGGAATCAGGTCACTCCGATGTGTGCATACCTGTGAATAATTCGCCTACCGATAGGAATACCAGAAAATGTAATTACACCCTTTGTGAATCGGTGTGCTTTCTGTTTCCACTTAAGGTAATCAAATTTTAGCCACGCTTTGTGAACTTTATACGCTGATTGATACAAGTGCTGATTAGGAGATTTGAAATGAACGTAGGTACATGTGTTGCGTGTTTGACGAAGATTTTGGTGTAACTGATACAATTTTATATTTCTGGAAAATTAGAAATGTAAGAAACCTGTTTTACGTCTACATAGTACAGTGCAGAATTATTACCAGAGGTGATTATATCAAATTTTTAAATTACGTTCTAAGAGAAGATTGAGAAACCACGACGAAATACCAAACCATCTTGGCTTCGTTAAAGACACTAAACTAACCGAAAAAATATAGCGAAACAACGCAGACTGTTACGTCGCTAATAACTTCGTAGTTGATGCGACGAAAAAGAAGGAGAAGAAAAACATTGAGAAAATTTTTAGACATAATTTAAACGGTTTCAAAAGGTAAATAACGATGGAAGGAAGTTTCACAATCGATTCGAAATTTTGGTATCCAAGATCATTTTAAAGTCACATCAAAAATGTCTGCTACGACATACAGCAGCAAAAATATATGCATTCATGTGAAGAAGCATAGGCGACCTTGAAAGAAAAATAGAAAAAAATGGCGTTTGTGCAAAATTTTTCTCTCACCTTGTAGAAATAAGGGACGCCGTATGCCTTACCGTGGGTAATAATTGTTTGTTCTGGATACAATTTCTAAAATGATGCATTTTCTTACCACTTGTTTCCGAGATGTTAAAAAACGGTGTAAAAGGATTGCCTTCAGACACGAGACCGTACACGATTTCACGTGGCACTCCTTTATCTCCGTCTTCTGCATGCACTCGTAGCACTATATCACCCTGAAATCGGCATTCGAATAAATTTCTTTTTTTCGTACGTTTTCGTATCAAAGATATCGTTTCTTTTTACTCAAGCACTCTGCTTTGAAACGTTCTCAGTGAAACTGTTCCACTTGATAAAGATATAAGTATTAGGTAGCACTATCTGTAATATTTTTGTTTATTATGAAAACACGAGTTAATTGGATTTCGGTGATTTTAAATTTCAGTAATCATTGGTGTGTGAATATTAGACTATATTTACACATAATATTACCCATATAATAGTTTATAATTTAAAAGAAATATTATTTACAATGGTATTATGAATATTATTTGTAATGATATTATGAATATTTACTAAAATTAATATAATATTGCAACTTGCATTCTAAAATATCACAGGGCTAATATTACCGGTAAATATTGCATTACATTTTCTACAAAATCTCCAATTAGTTATTACAGATCTCACTCAGTTTCTTCGTTCAAAATTTCAGTAACAATAGCTACATAAATATTAAATAAAAGATTAACTTACAGATTGTACAGAATTATTAATCCTCGTTAAGGGCGGTGCCAACGTAAAGATAGGAGGAACATCTTGAACATCTTGAACTACCACAACTACGCTTAAACCAGCGATATTTCTTGTATCCTTTCCAGGTTCTGTATACGGATCCTAGCGAACAACGTACGTTATGAAATCTTCTCGAAACTTGTTAAAGATGTCCGTTGAAACTTTACATACCGTGGCGTACATAGTGAGAGTGTACATAGACTGTGTTTCAAAGTCTAGTTCACCAATTAGGGTAATTACTCCTCGCGTTTGAGTAGGCGTTTGCCGTTGTCTTATAGTGAAAAGTTCTTTCGGTTGCTGTAAAGTCAATATCGAATTGCAAGGTACGTGTCACGACTTAGAACAGAGATAAGACTCGTTTCTCTATTGTAGCTGCATTCTGATTTGTTTACTTATGGTTGCTGTAAAGTCAATATCGAATTGCAAGGTACGTGTCACGACTTAGAACAGAGATAAGACTAAGTGAAGTTTCTCTATTGTAGCTGCATTCTGATTTGTTTACTTAGCAGGTTGTACACAATTAATTTGGCGCCTTTTCTCACGAGCTTCAATGTTTATTTACAGAAAAACAAATGTAATCACGTTTTCCTATTTATCGGAGAAACTAATGAAATTCGAAAACTCGGGTAACCGATGAATTTTCTCGCGGTTTTAGTCGATTAGGTCGTAAGATTTTGTGAAAAAAGGCACCGAATTAACTTGTATATTTAATAAAAACGATGATTATTTGGCAACTTACCCAGAGTTCAATATAAACAGGTTTGCCACTCCAAGAATTAGCTCTTACCAGAAGATAGTCTAATTCTTTGCCTGGTTTGGTATCCTACACAGGTAGACATAATCACCTCGAGAAACTAATTTTACAAACAAAATTGGAATAGTAAAGAACGTAGCAGATAGAATCTAAATTTTTTATTTAAACGTCGATAATATTGATTTATGAAATGAAAATTTGACGCACTGCATAGTACGCTGTTTCACACTTTCACGTTTTCAGTACGTGGACATAAAATTGAATATGAGTTTTATATATGAAGGGAAAATAATTTATTCAAAATTCTACTGTTTTTATTATCATTTCCACTGAATTGTAACTTTTACTATTTAATTAAAACTTATAGAGTTTATTGCATAGTAACTGTTACGTTAAATTTTCACAGTGATGATTCACATTAAAATAGAAAAGAAATAGAAAAGCTTTTGGCACGAAAATTACTTTTGCCAATTTTCCTGATTAAATTTATATATCTGAAGTTTCTTATGCGTCTATGAATATTTAACTCAATGAAATTTAACAAATAAGAAAGAAACTAACACAATTGATATAATTTCAGTCTAAAAGGACCACAATTAATTAACGCTAAATTTAATAAATTAACATTAACAATAACTCAAATATATTTCGTAAGGTTTTAGTAATAAAATCTGAATAATATAAAAGAATGAAACATTGTTTTGTATAGTCATTAAATTGTCCGTGAGAAAACGTAGAACAATTTTTTATCGTGGGGAACGTGTTAAAAGTACTACTAAACGAACTGAATGGTCTTACTGATCGTCGTAATTCGACCAATAAACAATTACCTCTGGTACCATTATGAGAGAAGGTATATGTGGGAATATTTTATCACGTGGGGTGGTGGCGTTTGTAACAGAAATAGTAGCTTGCATCGAGTTCGAGTCACCCTTCGTGTCCCTAACCCTCACGGCGAAATCGTGAAGACGACCAGGAACTAGTCGTTTCGTTAGAATCACATTAGCCTGGCATACTTTGTTGTACAATGTGCACGGTAGATTGTCGATCCTTACAACAGGTGTGATCGTAGCTAAACAAATAAAAAAATTACATTCGTTTTAATGCATAAGTTCGTATTCGTTCAATATTTCTTAACTTCTACAGCCAAAAATGATTGCATTATCAAATGGAAAATGGCATTAAAAATCTTTTAGAGGCTTTTTTCAATTGCAACAAAATTTCTTTCAAGGAAAATAGAAGTATTTGAATTAAATAGGCTTTTAAAATTTTAAATGCAAGTGTTGATTATAAATTAAAGTGTAATATTTTTTGATTGAGATATATTTTGATGATTATTGACGTTGAAAATAGAAAAATCTACTTCAAGCTGTGAATAATAAATTCTTCTTGTTTACACGAATTTGTTACCGAAGGCTTAAAGCAGATTTAAATTATTTTCAAATATTTAATGTTTTGATACTTTCACGCTGTAAACGTTGAAGCAGGATAAAATTTATTCAAACTGTCGTGGTTTTAAAGGTTCACAATAAATAAGAAGCAAGAAATGAACAATTACCGGTTATTTCAAAAACTAGTGGAAAATCTGCATCCTGATCAGTCGCGCGAAGTCGGAATATGACTGAATCTACTTCTGCATCCGCTGGAACCAGAACTAACCCCATATCCGTTGAGGTATCAAAACGTGGACGAGCACCCTTCGTCCACGCAAAAACGAACCCGAAATAAATCCACACTTTGCACCATTCTCCTGCAAAGGACATTCTGCGAACAAAGAATCATTTCTTCTCCTTAATAAATTATTAACACTTCGGTTTAAGAAATTTGATCGGTTTGTGCCGTACAAAATTTTTTCTAGATTATGCAATAAATTTAATACCTTAATGTTTATATTATACTTCGTTTGAAATCAGAATTATTGCAAATATTCGATACTTTCGATGCATACTTATCAGCGACATACACATATGCTGTTCTAAGCATGAAAAAACCATCATGAATTGTGTCTTTAACTGGTCCAGATGACCAATCTTTTCGTGAATGTTCGTTTCATAATACAAACAAAAGCTGTTTTCCTATTGTTCAGAGAAATTAAATGTTTGTGATATTTTTAGTACTATCTAAAATTTATATAAATTACAAAAGGGAAAATAAACAAGTTCAAATAAATATTATTTACGAGACTACTATTTTTTAACAAATTTTAGGAAGAAATAGAAGAGGGAGACCCTTTAATATCATTTTCGTAAAAGAATTAAGATTGCTTAAATCAATTTAAAAAGTACTTAGTAAATATCAAAAATAATCATTTTTCTTAAATGTCGGAATATCTTCTTTCGTAATAGTTTAGTAACAAATTCACCATTTTACCGTGTACTTTTTGATTGCACAAAACTGATATAGAATATTTCACAGAATATGGGACGAAAAAATATTAATTATGCATTCAACATTCGCTATTAATACCTATATTAATTATACAATATAATTTTGTTAATTCGAAAAATTCTTAAAATGCGATAAAGTATTAAAAAAGGGTACAGAATTAAAAATGTTATTGGAACTGTTAGAAATAACGAGAACCATGTATTTTCTAATCGATGTTTGTCGAATTTCCACCTTGCCACGTAAATGAAATGATCGATATCTTGTTATACGAGTTTCCTTGTTTCTTTTCTAAATATTGCAAGAATAATCTAGCGAGTTCAAACCCTCTCAAACTGACTGACAGTCATTCCATTTATCGAGCAAGTAATTATTTAAGGGAGCCGGTGGTCATTCCTCGATACCGCGTGATAGGGCGCACACCCTTTCCTTTCCAGTAATGGCAGTCTTAATTTGTTCGTGATAATCCGAGCAAATAACTCGTTACAACGTGATTAATAAATAATTATCACGTTGTTTCAAAAGGTATCCTTTTTACCAAGCTTTTTCTCATCTTGGGTAATTTATGTTTATGTAAATGCTTCGTTGTGTATTGTTTTGAATGGAAATTCTAAAAATTTTCATTTTGCATTTCTTGATAATTTGGGACTTTAAAATATTAAAAATATTCTGTGAAAATTCGCAATGTGACATATTAGGCGAATCAGAGTTTGAAAAATAAAGCGTACACTTATAAATTTCGTTGGTATACGACTATCGGAAATTTAGTGCAACGAAAGGACATTCGGTGACATACATTATCGCCTTCAATTTCCGATTACCAAGTAGAAATTTATCGATTCATTGTTGAGAAATAATTCTTGAATGATTCAACGAAGATACAGAATTCTCATTTTACGGCACAAGTATTCGTTCAAAAATGTTTCCAAAAATTGCACCCCTTTTCAGATTTAAATTAGCACAGTGTTCATGTGAAATTTACAATTTACAAATCAAACTGTTTTCTTATGTATTAATTCGACGAATTTTCACATTTCTCTTATGATGAATCAACAAAGAAATACAACAAAAAATACAGTAGATTGTCCTGAATCGAGAATATTTATCAAAATCGACGATCTACACAATTAATAATTAATTGTATTAATAGAATTAATACTGCGTAACAGCGCGTCATCTGTATTAACAATAAAGATTCTCGGTTTCGATAAAATCCGAAATATTGATTTTATAATCAAGAAACGAGGTCGTGACCATTCATTATTCGAAACTAAAACATGTAGGCTATAGTGTCCGTCAAGTCAGCGGCCTGTTCTCCACAACAATCGTAAACCTTTTTCGTAGTACAAGAATGTCTGATGTAATAGTAAAACAGGAGGTTTTATGGCAACCAGAAAGAAAAGTACGTTAATTCCTGAACGTAAAATGAATTTACTTCGTCTAACAAGTGAGATACCATCGTGTTGCTGTTAATTTGGATTTCTAGCTTTATTTTTCCATGCTTTCGTCGTTTAGGGTTTTTAGAAGCATGTTGGTTGTGGATATTGTTAAAATTACTATTTTCTTATGTGAAAATAAATTATTTGAGCAATATTATCAAGTACTTAATTGAAGACAGTAACACGTAGAAAATAATGATTGTTAAATACATGTAATATTAGTATAAATTAGCAGGATAATTATGACACTTCTCAACAACATTATATTTAATTTTCAATTAAGCGAATGTTAGATAAAAATTGAAAATACTTCTGCGTGTTAGGTATTCAATATCTTAAAATCAAATTTTTAAATATTACTTTCCCAGAAGATTTAATTTTTCCCTAATTTTGTAATTACACATAGGTAACATAAATTCTAACACTTATTTAAAATTATTATTTATACTATACTTGCATGTTCCACGTGTCACAAGTTATGAATAAAAATCAATTGGAGAATAGAAAAGTAACAAATACAAATAAGAGTACCATTTAATTGTGTAACAAAGTAAATAAATAAACAAGTAAACAAGTATATCAAATATAAAAATTAAGTTCAATACAATCCTATTTTCCACTGTTAAAATAATTGCACATTATTTAGCCAAAAATTTTAAAAATCTTTGGAAACACTTTTATAGTTACAAGGTGTCTTAATTTCCATAAAGTATTTCGGCTTGTACCCACAAGGCAGATAGGAATAGTGTTAACAATTAATTAAAAATGACAAAATTAACGATTACTCTAATTATCTTTCCGTGATAATTGTTCTTTAATTTTTGTCCAAAGGTGCTAAAATTGATTCAATCTTTAAGTACACCTGCCTGGACGAACTATAGCTACGTAATTTACACTATGACATGACCCGCCACGTGCCGATGAAATCACTATAACAGAAGTAGAATGGGGAACACGGGATATCGCACGTAGCAGAAACAGAAGTAGGTCATGGACTATATATAGTACTGAGCTAACAAATTTTTACGTCCATTTTACTAATGTGATAGAATAAATGAAAATGATCCTTATAGTTGAGCAATCTTGAGGAAGTGTATGGAACACGGGATATCGCACGTAGCAGAAACAGAAGTAGGTCATGGACTATATATAGTACTGAGCTAACAAATTTTTACGTCCATTTTACTAATGTGATAGAATAAATGAAAATGATCCTTACAGTTGAGCAATCTTGAGGAAGTGTATGGACGTTCCTCAGAGTTAATATCACGCAAAGAAATCGTCGATAAAGTATCACGTAAATATCTTCGGTCTCGAGATTTGGTGAACGAGCGGATCATACATGGTAACTGGGGGTAAAAAACATAAGAAGCACGTTGTTATTGATATCGGAGAGTACGTACGTGAGAATTTATTGCGAGATATATTTAGAGAGGGACAATCAAATTATCATTATTCTTTTTACGTGTGTATTTAGTTACTGTTGTTATCAAATATATTCATATTTAACTTGTTAACAAGTGTTATACAACCACAGGACGTTCCTTAGAGTTAATATCACGCAAAGAAATCGTCGATAAAGTATCACGTAAATATCTTTTTTTTGCAAATGGTAATCTTTGTTCACTTAGATCTGATTAAATAAACTACACAAATATCGATTATAGAATTTATTCACATTGTTTGGAGGAGTTTCTCGTTTATTTTTTACCAAGAGAATCATTTGATAACGATTTAAATATTCTTTGTCACTTAGATATGCAAAATTAAAAATGAAACATTGATTTATCGATTATCTAACGATATTATAATATCCCGGCTAGAAATTTAAGTTAGGCAGACATTAGACGTCCGACACTGAGATGTCTGTAAATATTCCTACATATAAGTTTGAGAGCCCCACTCCGCCTAATTTAGGTGTTAGCAATGCCCAACCTAAGCGTGCGCTCGGCCATCCCCATTTCAGCCACGTACG